AAACCTCAAGGACAGGCTGTGGCCTTTGGATTAGTCTAAGGAAAGTCCCCCGAGGAAGCGGGAGTGTATGGAAGGATGCGCCCCCCACTCCCTTACAGTTGCATTGACAAACTCCTTAGATAAGCCTCGAAGGGGGGAAAATGGACGGAGTGAAATGTGGTGTTTCCCCTCAGGTATCACCGAGATACTGCGTGGCTCTGTTGTGCAAGCCAGACACCTTGCTTGCCTTGCTGATGACTTCACACCTTCACCACTGAAGTGGTAACAAGAGCTGGTAAGAGGGGATCACCTCTGGGATGACCAATAAGAAGCATGAAGTCAGCAAAAATCTCTGGGAAGGGAGGAAAAACCAAAGCTGGGCAGGGCGAGGATGACCACTGACTCGATTGGAAACCCCACTGCACCTTTTTTCCTCGTCTCTCATGGAAATGAGTTTGTGGAATTACCTCCCTAGTATGCAAATCAGCTGATAACATGAACTTAAAAAGGTGACAGAAACTTTGCTGGGTGTGCACCCACCACCCAAGATCACCACACCTGAGACAACGCTGGATCCAGGGGTGGTGATCCGGATTTCTTTGACTCTCTTTCTCTCCTTTCCTTCTATTTTCTTTCCTTTCCTTCCTTTGTTACAGATTCATAAGAGACCACATCGCTTGTTATCCCTTTCCAAGTTTAAATTGTTTTCTACCGCAAGTAAAATGTTTTAACCGGTCGTTTGGCGTCGTTTCACCTTAATTCAACCCGAGGGGATCACAGAACCGGTGCGACTCTCTGGGCATCCAGTCCAGGTGGTGACGAGGTGACGGGGAGGGGTAGAGCCAGGGGACAGCTCCAGGTCCTCTCCCAGCCTCCCACAGTTTACAACTTCAGCTCGTCCTGCGCTGGGGACGCGTCTTTGTGCTCGCCAGCCCCACTGGGTCGTCTTCCAAGAATTTGTCTAATCGCTTGCTAAACCATTACGATTTTGGGGATCCATTTGGGCAGCGCGTTCCGCGGCTTAATTACACACTGTGTGAAGTATGTTCGTTTTGCATCTGCCACTTGGTAATTTCATTTGGTGCCTCTTTGTTTGCTTTGTCTTCCAACACAAGAGCCGTCGACCCCTATTCACTTTCTCCGTGCCACTGCATGAGTCTATACATCTCCCTCCTCCTTTTTTCCCCTGTCTGTCAATTATTTGCAAGACAAAAAGGGTAATTTATTTAATTGTTGCTGATATAATGTGCTAAAACTCTCCTTTACCCTCAAACAGTTAATTACACTTGTTAATTATTTTAATTACTCCCGGGGTAATGCTCCAGGTACAGAGGAGGACCCCACCAGGCTACATAGGCATAAACACAGAGCAGAAAAGTCAGGGTTTACTCCAAAGAGCTGCGTTGATAGAACCGGTCTGCGACAGCATGGGTGGTGAAACCGGAGCGGGGAAAGCTTGGCCTAGATTTGAAAAATTCTGTTTGCAGCATGGAAAGATTTACAGGAGGCAGCCTTAGGGGAAGGCAGATCCTGCCGGATTTCCCTTGGACCGGGCTGTCGAGGCTTGGAGAGGGCGACTCCAGCCTTTCCCTCCTCAGCAAAGATGATGCTTCCCCTGCAAGATGGAACGGCGACTCGGCGGCGTAACAGCAGATAACGAAGGGAGAAATCAAAGCAAGGAAACTTTCTGCCCGGCTGGAAAGCCCAGGCTCAGTCCTACCTCTAAGGACAAGGCGTGTGCCTTGGGGAACGGCGGCCCCCGTATCGGTACAACGAGAAAGATCATTTGTGGTCTCGCAGAGCAGCGTCTGCCAGCACCCTTGTAGCCAGGATGAAACCCGAGAGTTGCCGCAATCTAAACCTTCTCTGCAGTTACTTTTATCTTACTGGGGGAAAAACAAACAGAAAAGAACCAGAAAGCTTCGTGGCTAAGATGTCTCACATCTGGTTTTAGCTCCAAGAAATGTACTTCCACCCCCTCCCCGAATTGTTAAACAAACAAAACCCCGGCAATTTTTCTAGATTTTGGCTCTCAGATAACTTACAAGCAGCTCTGACTGTGAATTCCACGCTACCCTCCATGCCGAAGGGAAGCAGCACACCTCGCTTGGCGGGAGGGAGCCATTCCCCAAGGACAGGGCAAAAAGCCGTGTCCCGGGGTGCACGGGGGGGCTGGCACCCACCGGCGGCGCGCTGGGGACGCCGATGCCGCGAGGGAGAAACCTTCTTGACCACTCTATTTTTAGGTTTCAATACAGCATTTTTGCCTGTGTTATTTATGCTTCCCCCCCACCCATTCTTTAAGAACGTCTGGAAATATTTAAGATGTGTCCATTTGTATTAACGTGCCTTTGAGAGCTTTATGGTGTCAATTTGATTACAGCTCTTTTCGAAACAGAGCTTTCTAATTTGTGATTTTATTCCTTTTATATCACATAAGCACCGACTTCATTTCACTGCTTTCAGGTGTTCCATCAATCTGAAGTTCAGGGTAATGCATTGGGACATCACTTACATATTTCCATCTGACACGTTTCGAGCGATTCCCTCGCTGCCACCGGAGGAAGGCAGTTTCATTCCTCCGAGATCCTCTCCCGACAGCCCCCCCCGGCCCCTTCCAGCACCATCGGCAGCTAAATCGGGGCAGATGAAGGGTGTGGGACTCCTCTCCCCATCCCCACCTCGAGCTACACCAAGCCCAGTCCTCACCACACTCCTTCAAAAGCAGGGGACAGTGGCCAGATGAGACCTCACCGGCCTCTGTCACCCACCTCCACGCTCGCTTGTGACCAGCTCCCCTCTCTCTCGGGCGCTGGGACGGTCTCTGGCCAGAAGCCACGTTAACATTGTTCTCTCAAAATGAGAGAGGCTCCTCGAAAGCCACGCAGCGGCGGGGCCCTAGGGGTGTTTTCGGCTCTCTGGAGCCCATCCAGGGCATCAGGTTTCAGGGCAGGGGCTCCCACGCCAGCTGCATGGGGAAGGAACATCACCACTGGGACAATTAGAAAGAAGAGCCATCCGTTTCTATTCAGGGGATTCAATTTTCTTTCTACTCTATCAGATTAACACCAATGTAACTCCATTAACTACCAGGGAAGTTGATCTGAAAATCAGACCCGTCGGATTTTTTGGCTTTTGCGTGCAGTCACTTCGCTCAAAAGGAGCAGAGGGGGATGTAGGATGTACCGACAAATGTATGTGGGATGGCGGGGCGGTTGTTTTTTTCTTCTCTTTCCCTCATTTACCCTTTTTTTAAAAAATCCAAGGACCTCACTGTGATTTCCACTTTCTGCTGGCTGATGATTTTTCCCTCCCATCCTTCCCCCTGCGCTGCTCCAGCTGGTGATGGATGCCAGGAAGAAATCTAGAGGTGCTTCCTCTTACTTCAAACCCCACTTTCCAGGACGGTGAGCAGTGTTTTTTCTAAGCCTTTCATTGTTCTGACAAAAGAAGAAGCAAATGCTTGCCCAAGATCTGTTGAAGATCCTCTCAAAGCAGGCATTATTGCGTGGAGTGGGACATCTCAGCACTTTCTTTCGCATGTCCTGAAGTTACCTCAGCCCCGTGCTGTGTTAAGACCCTGCACCAAAAGTTACACCATCAGTCCCATCAATGCACCGAGCCTGGCAAGAGCGACAAAATAAAAATCCTAGTGAAGAGCTTTGCTTTGTCCAGTGATTGCTACTGAGTAAGATCATTATGATGAACATCTGGAGCACAGGTCTGCTGGGGAGCGGCTGGGGGAACTGGGGGGGTTCAGTCTGGAGAAGAGGAGGCTGAGGGGAGACCTCCTGGCCCTCTGCAACTCCCTGCCAGGAGGGGGCAGAGAGGGGGGATGAGTCTCTGGAGCCAAGGCCCCAGCGCCAGGCCCCGAGGGAATGGCCTCAAGCTGCCCAGGGCAGGGTCAGGCTGGCTCTGAGGAAGGATTTCTGTGCAGAAGGGGCTGTTGGGCGTTGGAATGGGCTGCCCAGGGCAGG